CCTCTGTCCCTCCCTCAATCGCTTGACCAAGATCCCCCCAAGCCCACTATGGAATAACACTGAGAGCTTGGGCGTTAACTCCAGCTACCTGGTCTCTGGTGACTGCCAGTTTGATGGTCACTTTGAGGGCCGTGGGACCAGGACAGCACTGACCTCCAGGGATGTCACTAATGCCACTAGGGGCCCACAGCAGGCAGAGAAGCTGCAGGTCCCCAGGACAGCAAGCGAGCCCGGCACATCCCCTCCTCGGTCGCCCCTGCCCACCCTGAGCTGATTCACCCGGAGTGGGTGTTCCCTGGGCAGGACGTCCTTCCTTGTATCCCACACGAGTGCTGCTTGCTGCAGTACGGCCCCACAACCTCGTGGCAGCAGAAACGCCTCGGCTTTCAAACGTGCCCTTTGTTAAAGTGCTAAGAAGCGGTTCCGCAGGCAAGGCGGCAGTCACAAAAGCCGTGAACGCAGCCAGCATCTGCCGCGGGCTCAGGAATTGGATTTCCACTGGGGAGAGCCCCACGGGGCGGGGGGTGTTCACTCTCTCCTCCCAATCCCTCCCCAGTCTCAAGACGCGGAGAAAAAGGGAGCAGGAGGAGAGAAGAAAATCGGAAAGAGAGCAAGACAAAGGCAGGGGACGGAGTCGGCGCAGCTGCTCTTGACCTGCCAAGGACTGTGCACGCCTCTCGCCGGGCTCGGGGGCCGGGGAAGGAGGCCAGCCTTGCTCGCGGCTTCTGCCGTCTCCGCCGAGACCTGTTCAATGGACCATCTGCTCCCAGGCCTCTCTGCAGGAGCTTCAAACATCCCGCTTCTCCAGGGAGCTGGGAGCCGGGAGGCGGCAGCTCCAGACAATACGGGCTGTCTCAGGGATCAGGGCATGGGGGGGGTGGGCAGAGGTACAAAGGGTGAGTTGGTGCAGAGAATCCGAAGGCACCAAGTGCCCACGTTCTGCGAGCTCCCTCTCCCTCTCCCGCCCAGGTGGGACTTGGAGCCCAGAGTGCCGGGCTGGCTACTGTCCTGGAGGACACGGCAAGCGGTCACCCCTCAGTGCAGAGCGGGGGCCAGGGAAGCACAGCACGCCCTTGGAAGTGGGGTCTCTGTGGTGCAGCCTTCTGCCCCTGCCCCGCCCCCCGCCCCAGCCCAGCCTCATTCTGGCTGTCCGACTGCCGTGCGGCACGTCTGGCCCACGAGAAGCAGTGTGGCCTCCCCAGGACGACTGGCAGAGCTGCAGCCTGGAAGCTCGGGTCTCTGAGTTGAGCCCCTTCATCTCGGGTCTCAGTGTTCCAATCTGCCAAATGGGACGCTGGACCCAGAGCCCTGTACCTAGATCATTCGGTTCCTTCCCATCAGGATTCAAGTCCCTCTGCTGCCGTCACGGCCGTTTACCTCGTGCTCTGTAACGATGGAAAATAACTGTGCGGTGCTTGCCAGGAGGGTGGAAAGAGCGCGGGACCGAGGGTCTGAAGGAGCCGCCAGTGTGCTGCGCTGTGCTGCGCTGGGCAAGACGCTGCCCCTCTCTGCGTTTCTGGTTTTTCCTGATCAAAACCAGAGCCCTGGATGAGAGCACCCCTAGGGCCTCTTCCTGTGCTGGATCCCGCAGCGCCACCCCTAACTCAGCCCCAGGCACAGCCTCTCCTGCAAGGCCCCCGCCCACGGCCGGCCCTGTGGCGAGGCCCATGCGCAGAAGCTGTGGGGTGCAGCCGGGGCAGCGTGAGGAGGACACAGGAAGTTGCAGCACCTTCTTGCAAGCCTGTGCGTGGTGCCTGGTGACAATCTCAGGGCTGGGGGCTCAGCCCTCGCCCTCGGTCTCACCAGAGCCCTGCTCTGGGACAGCACTGGGCCTCAAAGCCCACTCCCGCGGTCCCGACACCAACCCGCCCCCCTCCAGGAGTCTCAGTGGGACATCCTGAGAATACCAAGGGGTAGGAAGTTTCACCTGCTTCCATAGGAGAGACAGCCGAGCTCAGCAAGGTTTGGTCATTTGCGTAAATTCACACAGCAATCAGGGAGCAAGAACCTGGAGATGGCCGCCTGCCGAGCCTTCGCTCTTAACCGCTGTCACTATTTCTTTAAGATTTATTCATTTTTACTTGAAAGGCAGAGTGAAAGAGAGGAGAGAGATCTTCCACTGGCTGGTTCCCTCCCCAAACGGCTGCAACAGCCAAGTTGGGCCAGGCCAAAGGCAGCTGCCAGAAACTCCATCCGGGTCTCCCACACCCGTGGCAGGGGCCCAAGCACTTGAGCCATCACCTGCTGCTTTCCCAGGCGCATTAGCAGGAAGCTGGATCGGAAGTGGAGCAGCCGGGACACCACTAAGGGACGCAGGTGTAGCCAGCGGCAGCTTCACCAGTGCTGGCCCTCCACTGTCCTGCCTACCCCCACCAAGCCGAGTCAGGTCTGGGAGGGGGTGTGAGGGTGAGCACAAGGCCGGAACCACTCCAGGGAGCCCCTCTCCACCGGGCCTGGGCGTAGGCAGAGTCAACAGGGCCTGGAGGACTTGGAGTCACGTAACGGTGTTCACATCACACAGGAGAAAGTTTGGCCCAGGTGCAACTCACCTCAGGTCACGTGGTGAGCGTGGGTAGGCCCAGCTGGCCTGGCTTGCTGCGAGTCCCATCCCCCACCCCCACTCTGGTCACTCACTCCGGGGACATCCGGTCTCTCTCTCTCTCTCTCTCTCTCTCTCTCTCTCACACACACACACACACACACACACACACCCGGTCTGCTCCTCAGGCGGCTCATTCCTGGGAGGCCCAGACAGTGGAGTAAGAGGCCGATTCTGTCACCATTACGGGTGGACAGAGGGTGCGAGCGAGTCGGCGTGAGGTGACCAGAAAGCTCTGCGTCTCCTTCTCACGCAGGCCTCCCTGCAGAACCACAGTGCAGGCCCGAGACCGACCGACTGACCGACCGACAGACAGACAGAGCGGCAGTGCTGCCGCTCCAGTCGCCCGGGGGACTTGGAGACCTGTAGCAGGGAAGATGGCACTGCAAGTCCCCACTTCGTCCCTGCTGCCCCCGGCCCCCGCACAGCTGCTGGCTCCCTGCAAGCTACAGGGCTCTTCCTGTCCCCATGAACCACGCCACCACGGCCACACAGGCTGAGGACTGGCACTCGCGTGTTCCCTGCTGAACCCCACAGCCCTGAGTGAGGTGCCCCATCATGTCACTCCAACAACTGAGTCACGGAAGCTCAAACCTCAAGGTCACGGAGGATGCTCTCCAAGGGTGCACGGGGCTGTAGAAAGGACCCCACTTACACCCAGCACTTTGTCTCAAGGTGCCTCGGCCCTGGGGACAGACGAGAGGCGGGCTGGGAGTGCAGCCACCTGCTCGCACCAACCCCTTGCACCTGCCACAGAATGGCAGAACCAGAAGGGCCCGGGGAAGTTACCAAGCTCAACTCTCTCATCGCGCAAGTGAGGAAAGCAGGACAGGGGCCGGCCCAAAGTCACACAAGGTCACCCGACCTGGAGGCAGAACCTGGCAGCTCTCCTGTCTTAAACCAGGACTCTGCTCACAGCACCCCACGGCTCGGGGAGACGGGCTGGGAGCCCACCGCAAGGAGGAGCTGGGTTAGACTCCCAGGGCAAGGGGTGCTGGGTGGCCCAGTGGGTGGCACGGGCTCTGCCCAACAGAGGATGTCTCCGAGGTGAGGGCGACAGCATGACCTTGAGAGATCCCTAAAAGCCTCCTTTAACCTGCCCTCCCCTCACCTGGGTGAGAACCTTCTGTGAGGGCAGGGGAGCTCTGCCCAGAGCAGAGGTGCGCAGGGCCGGCTCGGCGGTCATTCTCCACCGCCGGATGGCGTGACTGGGGCACGATGATGGACGAGCAGGGAGAGGGCTCACAGCCCCGCCACCTCCTCCTCCACGGAGAGGAGGGAGCCACGGACGCCCCAGCGGCAAGGTCACCCTGCCCAGCTGCACCCCACACCCCCACCTTCTCTGAGCCTCACCCGCAAGCTGGGGTCAACAGAGGCTGGGACTGGAGAGATCTCAGACACTTTTAGACCCAAACCCCCATTGCACAGATGAAGCTACTGAGGCCACCGGGCTACGGGAGTCACCAAGGTCACAGGACAGGTCGGAATGGGAGCTCTCAGGACTCACACACACCGACACCTGCTCGCTGCCAGGAAGTGAGCACACAGCTCCCTGCAGCCAATTCCCAGTGCAGAGACTGGGGCAAGCGGTTCATGCCGCCCCCACCTCGTCCCCCTGGCACCACGTCTCCATCATCTTGGGGTTCAGAGAGGTGCAGCAGCTTGTCCAAGGTCACACAGCAAGCAGAGTAGGGCACTGAGTCCCACTGAGCCGCAGCAGCTTCCCCAACCCTCTCTGGGTCTCTCCAAGCCCCGCCGATTGCCAGGATCCTCTGGACCCTGCTTGGTCCAAGGCAAGGCCTGGAGCAGGAAAAAGTTGCCATGAGAGGAAGGGTCGAAGGCGCGGTGGCGCATCCCAGCACAGGACGGCTGAGGTGGGAGGGGGGCACTGGAGGGCAGCCAGCCCCGCGCCCCCGCAGTGCTCCCTGAGCGACCCGCTCTGTGCCAAGGGGTCCCGCAACCGCTCCTCGCTGCGGTGGGGGTGGGGGTCCCACGCGCCCGCACTCACTCCTCGCCGCATACCCCTGTAACCCGCGGTCCTGCGCGCCCCCCTCCCACGGCTCCGCAGCGGGGAGCGCCTCAGCTTGCCCGATTCGCTGCCGGGTCCGCGCGCGGGCCACCGCGCCCTCGCCCTGTGCCCATCCCGGGCCCCCGCGAGGAGAAGCGGGTCGAGGGCGCGGGGTTCCCGGGACCATCCAGGTCGCCTCCCCGGGGACTAACCCGGTAATCCGACGCAGGTGAATCCGCGGAGCTCCGTCCCGCACTTAGTTCATCTGGCGCGGAGCGCCAAGCCCAGAAAGTCGGAGCGTCCCAGCCCACGGCCCCGCACCCGCCCGCGCCCCGCAGGCCCTCGGGTGCCGCCGGTGGTCGCGGCACGCCTTTGTTCGGGACTCCCTCTTACCCGGGGACTTGCGGGCGCCGCGCGGCGACGGCGGCCGGGGTCCGAAGGCGAGGTCCCAGGTTCCCGCTGCCGGCCGGCCGGCCGCTGCGGCTCTGCTCCCGCCCGCCGGCTCTGCGGTAAGAGCAGCCCGATCCGCTGCCCCCGCTCGCGAATTGACATGCTCCTCACATCCGCCTGCACACGGCGTGGACCGGCCCCTCCGAGGGCGATCCCCGCAGACCGCGGCGCAGGGACCCCGCCCCGGGCGATCCCCGCGCGGGCCGCCGCCTCCGCGCCCACGCCCCCTCCTGCGCCCGGGACGCCGCGGGAGGGGACGGAGGTGGGCGCCAGGGGGTGAACCTGGCGCGGCCCCACGGAAGTTTGGGGCAGGCGGGGTCGGCCTGGCGCCCCTGGAGCTCGCGGGGCTCGCTCGGCTGCGCGGAGGCGTCGCCGCCCACCCGGCCCTCCTGCGACACTCCCTGCGGGGGCCCGCCGCCCCCGAGCCGCGGGCGCCTCTCGGTGCGGGGATTGGCTGGGGGGAGGGGAGGGGGCGGGAAACGATTCGCTTCGGGGGTGGGGGGGTGGGGATCGGGATGAAGGTTTTGCGGAGTCGAGGGAGAAAAGGAAGGGGCGGGAGAAGCGGGGACAGGAACAAAAGACACTCGCAGAGGGGCTGAGGAGGTCGGACGCCGCGCAGGGGCAGCGTCGGGGCGCGCTGGGGGCGGGGCTGGGCCCAGAGCCCTCGCCGGCCACGTGGGGAGGGGGCCGAAGGGCAGTGGCGACAGGAGGCAGTGTCCCCTGCGCAGGACCGGAGAGCATCCGAGAGCGCTTCGCCAGGGACCCGCACCCTCCTCTCGGAGAGGGCGCAATGTCCACACACTCTGGCGTGGGAGGGCAGGAGCGCTGGGAGCCGGGGTCGCCTCCTGCGCCTCAGTGCCCAAGGCAAGGGTGTGGCCACGTGCCGGTCCCGATAGCCAGGACGCCTGCTGGCCAGGCTGGCGCGTCCCGCACCACCCACCGCTGCCCTCGGCCTCCCTCTCCTCCTCCCTTAGGGTTGATGTCTGTTTTGCATACTCAGGACCAAGTTTGGGGGCTGACCCAGGAAAGTGCCATTCTGTGCCCACCCCATATCCTGTGCGCGCATGCTGGGGGACCCGGGACCTCCCCCGGGCTCCTCCTCCTTCCCAGACTCCCAGGAAGCCAGGCAATGCCCAAGACCCGCCGCGGACCTGGCTTCTCCCCCCTCCCGCGTCCCAGCCCCACGACAGCAGCGGGAAGCTGGCACTGCAGTGCTGCAACGCGGGCTTCTCGGCGCCGCCGGGCTGGAGGCTCTCGCTGGAGGGCAGCTCGCCCCACCTGCTCTGCAGAAGAGCCGATTCGGGATCCCCAGGCTGCGGCCCTGTGCTGGCGTCCCTGGCTGGGCTGTGCACAGGGGCGGGAGGGTGTGTGGCTGGGCAGGACTAACGCTGGAGCCGCAGGTCAGCTCTGCTGACCCCTGGCCGTTCTCCAGGTGGGACGTGAGCGAGGGCTCAAGGTCAGATGCTCAGCAGGAGAGCTCCAGGGATCCCCCTCACACCCCGAGCCCCAACTCCAGCCTGCTGGTTTCCCAGGCCCAGGACAGACCTGTCACCTCGGGGTGGGCGGCTTGCTTCTCTTCTGCGTTCCCTCAAAGACTCCGGAAAATTCAGCAGGCCGGGGGCAGCTTCCACTTTTGGGCTAAAGGCTCAGGACATCTTCCTGCCCCTCCGAGAAAACGATGGCTCACGGACTGGAGTGTAGAGCTGCTTGGATGCAGGGGAATGGACCAGAGGACTTCTGCGGTTCCTACTGATACAATGTTTCAAAAGATGCCCAAAATGGGGCCCGGTGACATTCAAGGGAGTCAGCCAGGGCTGGCTGTGTCAGGCGGTACACTCTGCCCCCTGGGGAACAGAGGGACCAGTGACATCTGCACTGGCGGGGGCTGGGCCGAGAGGGGGGAGGGTGGGAGCGTGGTGGTTTCTGGGGAAAAGGCAGCGGCATTTGGCTCAGGGACCTCCTGACCCCAGAAGACCCCTCCCCTGACACCGATCCCTGTGCTCAGTCCCAGGGGACAGCAGGCAAGGGAGGGGTAACTCTGCTCCACTGAAGCAAAGGGAGCCCCCAAAGGGTGGGCCCCCAAAGGGCACGGAGTGAGGGTGAGGAGCTGGCCTTGTGACTGGATGCTGAGTTCCACCCCCCGCACTGCACCTGTGCTCGGGCCTGGACGCATACCCATAGCTGTGCACCGTACAGCCCAGTGGCCGTCCCGCCCCAGGTCCCCTCCACACAGCCCTGACCCAGCCTCCAGCTTCCCCAGCACTGCCATTCCCTCACCCTTGGGACTCCAGCTGCACCCCTTGCCTTGTAAGCACTAAAAGAGCTGCGCTATTTCCTGCCACAGGGCCTTTGAACACGCTGTCCTCTCAGTGGAGTGCGCCACCCTATGCACCACGCCACCTCCCCTGCACCCCCAGTCTCAGTTCCCCCTCCCCCGCCTGTGTATCCTGCACCTGTCACCTTTGACCCTTCTGGTGCTTGTCCTTCCTGCACCACCACACCCCGCCCTTTCTCCAGCTCCCTGGCAGTGAGGACCCACGCTCAGCTCACCTGTGGCCTCGACACATATCCCAGGGGTGCTGCCACGTGTGCGGTGTGGCCTTGGGCCTCCTCGAAGCCTCAGCCTTGTGGCCTGCAACGTGGGGGTCTTCCTTATAAAATGGGGTTCCTGCGAGGATTAGGGGCTGCTGCACACCAGCCCCGGCACATCAGCCAGGAAAGAAACAGGGCGGAAGAAAGGCTCCCGGCCTTCTCCCAGGACATCGCCTTCCCTCCTTGGCTGGACCCCCGCCCTGTCCCGCCCCACCCCGCCCCGCCCCGCCTCCCAGGATCCTGACTCCTGCCCTGGCCCGCTGGGTAAGGAGGAAGCTGCTGCAGCCAGCGCCTTCCTCACTCCGGCTCCGCCCCTCCAGGTCCACCGCCCACACCCAGGATTCCCTGCACTGACCCGGGGCTGGCCTCAGCCGTCACCAAGGCTTGGAGCCGCCGGGACAGGCACCGGCAGAGTCAAGGGTGGACGGAGGAGGTGGCGGGGGGCGGGAGAGCTGTTGCTTCCTTCACCATTTCTGCCAGCATCCCCCCAAAAGTCGCCTCCACATCCACACACAGGCCCTGCCCTCGCTGCCAGTGAGGTGGCAACCTCAAGCTGCCCCAACACCACCCGGGAATTCTGGGGCCACCGTGAACTCTGGGCGCTAAGCCGGCCTAGCAGGGGCCGGCTCCCGGGGCCAGGTCTCCAGGGCGCCTGGCTGGATGGGTCACGTGACCACTCAGCAGGCTCCCGTGCTGCCTTCCTGTTGCTGCTGTTTGGGAGGCTGTCGGTCCCTTCCCCAAACCCTATTCCCTGAGCACCCCCCCCACCCCACAGCTGGTACCCTGCAGACTGCTTGGTGGGAAGACAGCCCAGCTGGAATCCCGCCCCCAGCCACAGCAGAGTAGGGGGGAGGGAGCACAAGGGGCAGGGAGAGGCGAGGGCACTGGCAGAGCTGTCACTCATCACCTTGAGCGAGCCCCCTCCCCACATCAGCTCTGTCAGACACAATGATGGCTCTCGGGTCTCCCCTTCCAGAAATGCAACAACTGAACTTGCAGTCACCAACACGGCCTCCACTGCTGCCAGGGGAGCCCCTCCCCTGGGGGCGCAAGCCCGACTGCCGGCTGTGAATCCGGCCTCTGCCACTTCGAGGCTGTGTGACTTCAGGCAACGTCCTGAACCTCTCTGTGCCTCACCCATCAAACAGAAACAAACGGAGCATCATGCAGCTGCTACGATGGTGGTGCCCACTGCATGGGTTAATACATGTAAAACACTCAGAGCAATGTCCAGGATGGACCAGGGCTCGGCAAGTGCTGGCTGCTGTTTCTGCATTCTCTCCGCTTTCCCAAGGAGGACATAGCTGCCGTTTGTCTCGTGCCTACCACAGGCCGGGCAGCTTATCTAGGTCACAGGGAGCAAGGACTCCAGTGAGGGCTGCATGCGCAGGTGCACCTCGCACCAGACGTCGGCCACCAGCCTCTTCTGCAGCCACTGGTTGTGCAGGCGCCAGAGGGTGCACCCGGGGAAGAACTTGAACCAGGCCCACAGCTGGGCTCCAGGCCTGCAGGGAGGGTTTTGCAGCCATTGGAAGAGGGCTCCCGAGGGAGATTTGGTCAGGAGGAAGAATCCAGCTGACAAGACCAGCCAGGCTCCACGGGAAGGCTTGAGGGCGAAAGGGAGAGACCCTGTGGGCTGGCACACGACCGTGTCTGGACCAGCAACCCTGGAAGGAACACGGGCTCCATGTAAACTGAGGCAGCTGCCTGGAGAGCTGGCTCCTGACATCGGCCGCTTCATCACCCAGGAGCTCTGCGTGAGCCCCTGCCCCTCAGCGCCCATGACCCTCGGGGGGACTGTGGGGAAGTTGGTGGGAGGTGTGGGGCCCCGCCTCCCAGGCCACACCAGCAGCCTGGCAGGCCTGGTGCTGGGGAAGCCTGAGAATCAGCCCAGGACAGGTGAGGGAACCCAAGTCAGCCTGAGCCGTTCCTGGAACACACCCTGGTGGGGGGGAGGGGGGCATGCGGAGCTGAGAGAGCCTAGAATATTCCTGCCAGAGCAGGAGGGGCTCGGAGCTAAGGAGATGCATGGAGAGAGGAAGATGCTGCTGCTGCTGCCAGGAGACACCGTGACACCTGCTTGAATAGCCCAGTCACTATTCTACGTGCTCAACATGGATTTATTAACTAAATGCTTACAACAACCCTGGGGGAGGCGGTTACTCTTGTTTCCACTTTACAGACGGAAAAACTGAGTCAGAGAGCGGCAGAATAACTAGCGCAGGGTCACACAGCTGGAAGTGGAAGAAGCAGGGTTGAACCATGATCATCTGCTGCTGAGGCCACAGGCCAAGCCGCCCGGCCTTGTGCCCTGCCCACCAACAGCAAGTGCACTCGCTCCGGGACTATAAGCTACACAGGGCTATGGGTGCTCAGACCCTACCTAACCTCTTAATTACCATATGGAATCAGTGCTGCCCCCATTTTACAGCTGAGAAGACTGAGGCAAATCACTTGCTCAAGTCCACAGAGCCAGGATCCAAGTCCAGGTCTGTGGGGCTCTGGAACCCTGCAGCCGGGACCTCCTGGCCGTGCTGCCATAGCCCTGCCCCAGCCCCGCTCCAGCCTGCCCCGAACAGATCAGACCATCTCCACCTCCCCCGAAGGGCTGCTCCTGGACTTGGGAAGCCATCTCGAGTTCTTCGTGGGACCTGAGCTGGCGACACAGGCCACCTAAGAGCAGGTCCCTGGACAGGGAAAGGCACCTGGGGCTGGATCTTCCCCGGATCTTTCCAGAGAATTCAAGATGCCAAGGCAATGGCCGGCGCCGCGGCTCACTAGGCTAATC